TGATTATTCCAACTTTTAGCTAAACTGTTGCAATCTCGAGCTAGGGAGCCACACGCAAAACTTTTCAGCCCCCCCCCCACGTATTTATGTATAAATCACTCGTGTATACAGTATATTATGATCTATTTATGATATGTTGCATGATCTATTTCGAGCAGGTGGGATCTATTTCGGGCAGGTGGGATCTATTTCGGGTATATTATGAGATAGACAATCCGTGATATTTTTTCTCGTGTGAATATGCGTGACGAATTGTCACGCGATTACTTTTGCCAAGAAAAAAGATAATTGCCAGCGAAACAAAAGACTCAGCAGACAATAATGAAAAGTTCAGGCGCGTAGTGCTATAATAATATCTTTAATATTTTTAAAAATGAATATATTGAGAGAGGTCGACTAAGTAAAAATTATAGCAGGATTTCAAGGGAGGAAATCTGCCGAGCCCTAACCCATATGATGACAGTTCCTTTTCCGCTACTCACTACCTAGGTTATTTGCTTTACTAGAGCAATCCATAAACCAATTTGATCTAAGTACTAATATAACCATTCTTCTTTTTAATATTTCTCTCATAAAACCCTTGTACCGTCGTCTTCTTAATATTCCTCCCAATAAACGAATGTCCATAGCTACAGAAAGACACATCTCCTCCAAAGTATAATTATTTTCGGTCATGATCCGATCAAAAATTTGCTTAAATTGACTCCAGACAGTCAAGCTAATACCCGTGAATGTTAATTGTCCCGAGCTTGCAGAGGAATGATTTGAAGCTTGACCTGCGAAATGATTGGAAGCTTGATCGAATTCAATCTCTTCGGTTCTTAGAACCATCGCATAACGCTGATTTATTTCCTTTGAAGAGTTGCGATAGAAGCATTGATTGATTCAAATTCGGTTGCGACTCTACTAAAATTGTTATTGTAGTTTTGAAGAACCTGTTCAATCTCATCAAGTCTCACCAGTAGAAGTATTAAGCATTGTCAAGATTTTTTGGTTCTCCGCCGTAAGTTTTCATCGCGTAAGGTAAGTTCAGCGTCAAATTTAGCACGGTAATCGGTGAGTTCGGTTAAGAACCTGGCATCACGATTGGCGAGAATTTCATTAAACATGGTATCACGTGCAGAAGGGTCGGAATTGCCGGAGTCTCATGTCCTTTAGAGTTGTCCCTTCGGTCCTGCTCTGCAATAGAATCCAATGATTAGCTTTTTTTTACCTGTAATATTAACAGCATGTATTAAAAGCTTCGTGCTGTATAATAATGCGCAATCTCTCACCTACTGTAATATTAAGTCTAATCTAAATCTGTCTTTAACAGCCAGTTTAATGAGAAAAAAAAAGCAAAAACGTTTCTTTATTAATACTGCTTAATTGCCCACTTCCTAAATCATTTGCATTCCCTGATTGCAACTCCTATTTCTCGTCTACAACAAAATAATCGTTCAAACCTTTTTGTACTAGTGATTTTACCTTCAATATTTCTAATACTCTTCAAGTTTTGGACATTTTACAGTTCGGACACGTTTCTAAAAGGCTTATGCAATTCGTCTATATCCAAGATCGTTTTAGCAATCGAGATATTGTCGTTAGATGTTTCACTTTTAACGTCTGTTTACACTATTCAACAAGATTATTTTGGGTGATATTTGGATTATTCTGTTTTTTCAAGCAAATTTCACGTCTTTGCATATTTGTCAAGGTCATTTTTGTCATAGGAGAAAAAGAAAATTTTTTATTATCGCTTACAAAAGAATTTTATTGTAAATGTTTATTGTCCAATCAATTGGTTTTGCTCCATATCATGTACTCTCCTCTAAATGCATAACTCCTTTTAATGCATAAATTTTCAGCGGTCCCGATGGTATGCATTTAGAGGAGTCTGACTGTAGCATGGAAGGAAGTTGACCGACTTACAGATTATCGCGATTTTACATATGCCGACCGACTTATCGAGAGACCGACTTATCGAGTTCCCTGTGTATTACCTCGTTGCCCGTTTCGTTGGAAATATCTTGTTCAATTTCCAATTTCCGCAAAAACAGATTGGATGATTGTCGTTTGGAAGGACTTTGAAAGAAGTTGTCGATCTCGTCCTACAGAAACGCATGATAATGAGATAACATTAAAATAAATTGACAGTTAGAACATAATTATTTCTGCTGATTCTCACGACTTCTACGTAATAAAAGGTATCCGTACCTTTTCCCGATCTCTTTTTGATCCAACAACTAACGATCCACCAGTTATCGTCCCCAAATTTCCAATCACATTTCCGTTGATGTCCGTGATTTTCGGCTGGTTCACTAGCACCTCTTCCATATCCTGTGCGGTGCAACTACCCCAAGAAGCTCGGTACTTTTTTGCACTCATGTGACATTTTCGTTGACATCATTGCACTTTTGGCCAGTA